TTTTTCGCGTCGCAAGCTCCAACATGCTCCAACATGCTCCTACCATAGCTCCTACTCACTCTATCAAATGCGTTGAAGAAAGTAGAAGCTATGGTAGGAGCACGTTGGAGCATGTTGGAGCTTGCGACGCGAACAAACCTCTTAAGATTCTTCGCACACAAGACATTCGTAACGCGTTATCGGTCTACAATGGAAGTAATATTGTGTACACTGAAAAAAATTTTGTTCACACACACACACATTTTTGGTCCAATGAATGCTCGTTAATCAATGTCCAACTTAATGTATTTAATTCATTGATACAATAACTGGATTCATTTATACAACTATATATTCATTCTTGAAATGAGTTTTAGGAATACTTTTATAATCTAAATCATTATGAGAATTCATTGAACCAATTTTCATTATTTTTTCATAATTCAATGAATATTTTATTGTATTTACGTTTTACAGTTTTGGTTCAGTGTAGTAAGCCGTAAGTCGTACGAAATTGACTAATTATATAGTCGATTATTCTTCTCACATTCGATCGTGATTGGTCCAATGTCTTACGCGCGCGCGCGCCTTATGATTTATTACATCATATTATTCTCACTGTAGACTGCCCTTTATATTACATTTTTTACAATGCACAAAGAAAATCGTAACATAACGTTATAATGAAAATATTATCATCACTTGTAAAACAACGTGTGAAAACTTAAGATTGGTATTTTTTAATTAATTTTTTTATTAATTTTTTACTTAATCCTTCAATTTTATATTTTTTTAATTAAGAAAAAGAACTGAATGTTAAAGTATCTCCTTTTATGATTGTTACACAAAAGAATTCAATTTTATTAAACAATTGTTTTAGTACTCAATAAACCATTTGCGAGTTTAGTATAGATTTTCGATTCATAAATTTTCAGTAAACAATATCCCGCTTGTTCCAGCTGTTTACAAAAGAATCATCGAGTATTACTTTTAAAAGCAAAATGGAGAAATGACAATCTTCTATACATTTTCTCTAGTTTAATAGCTATATTAACTTTATTTTTTATTCTCTAATGTAAAATACTCCAAAAAATCTGTGTAATTTAGCGCAATATTACGAGGAAATTGCGATAGTAAACAATAATTCAAACATGAGCTTTTCGTATCAAGGGAATTAAATCGACCAATTCGAATTTGCGTATTGTATTGTGTAAATACTACTATCATGCTCTAGTGGAAATGGCTTTACAATATTTTAGCATTTTTTCTGGTTATCATATGACGTATCGATTTTCGCTATTATATTGTATGTATGTATAACAGTTCATTTATTTTAATAAGAGGAATCAAAGCTATAGCACACAAAAAAACTTAAGCAGTAAGACGTAAGCAATAAGCATTACCATTTGATTTACCATGTTGGATTTATTACTGCTTACATATTAATTATCTTAAGGTTTGTTCGCGTCGCACTTCAACGCGCTTGATAGAGTGAGTAGGAGCTATGGTAGGAGCATGTTGGAGCTTGCGACGCGAACAAACCTTTAATTACAGCTATGATTGGTGATTTGCTTACTGCTTGTCTTACATTTTTTTGTGTACCATGGCTCTAGAATCATACAACACAAAAGGATCACAACATATGTCTTTAAACTGAATGTCGTATTGAATGTCGTTAATTTCGACGTTTGACAAATTCAGCAAATTTTCTACCAAATCGATTATGCAGTTTATTGTTACAATATCAAATAAATATTATTTGTGTTTATTAAATCACCAATATGTTGTTATTAGAACACGATTTAGCAATTTAATAATTTATCAGCACGTATTTTAAACTTTTTTTTAAATAGTAAATACCAAATGTTTCAACAAATTTCAAATAAAATGATAGATTTCTCAATTTGACCATATTCGATATATACATATCTGTTTAATAATAATTAAAGATTAATGGCAAAAACATGTCCAATTTTTAGCCCTGCGATATATGGTCGATGGGGATAACATTATACGCGCTCGTGATAGGAGATCTTCCTTGGCGCGCTTCCGATAGTACAGCCATTCAAGAGGTTGTTCGTTCAAAACCGCTCATATTCCCTGATAATCATTTATCTTCGGAATTGCGGTATTTAATTGAGGGAATGCTGGATAAGTCGCCGGAAACCAGGCTCATACTCCCGAAGGTAAAGCAGCATCCGTGGCTGACAAATAACGCAACCGAACCACTGCCGGCCGAGGTCGACAACTGCCGCTTACGGGTCACTGTCACCGAGGAGGAGGTCATAAGACTCGGCACTCTGCTTCTCGTCAAGAATATGTTGAAACAGCATAGCTTTCAGGTGAGCGGAGAGTATATATTCAACTCTAAATACGACATTAAAATTGCACCACAAAAACGAAGAATTCAAAAGTACGATAAATTCGACATTTTTTTTCTTCCTGTCTTGACTGCGCGATATTTCTGATTAATTTTAGTAAACGAACTAAAATACTGAATATTTATTCTGTATTTGTAAAAAATATACGGAATACATTTTTCTTTTTTCCTCGATGAATATAAATACACAAGTAATACAGTTACGTTCAAAATACATTTAATAAATGTTAGAAATCGTGTAATAAAACGTATAAACTGAAAAATAAACGTTTAAAATTTGGTACGTTTTTTAAACTATTTAATAAACGTTATAAAAACATTTATGAGACGTTTATTGTAACTCTATTAAACTTTTTTTTTATTAGTTTAAAATACCGTTTTTATATAAAACATTTCGATACTTTAATAAACATATTAAATAAATGTTACTGTAATATCGTATAAACATTACAAAATATTATAACAGCACATTTACTTTAATTTGTAAAACTGTTACATCTGTTTAGTGTAAGTATACGTTTAAAAACTGAAAATGATTTTAGCTCGCAGTTGTAGAACTGCACTGAAAAAAAAGATTGACTGCTATTATTTGATTAAATGGTAAAATATGGCATAACATATTTAATTAGTTGCAGCAGCCAATTTTTGGTTGTGTTAGCCTATCGAAATCCTATACTGACATTTTGGATAGGCTAACGCAAC